AACTGTCAATATCCTAGCTGTCTATATGATGGTGGTAGACTACTCCCAGTTATAACTGAGTTTCCTGGTGACCTATATATTAGCTCACTGTTGGGTGAGGATTCATACATCAAAGTATGTTAAACAAGCCTTCCTTTCCCTCCTTCCCCTACGAAATGATCATGAATAATTCATGAACTGGCATGAACTGTTCTTGAATGGTTCATGAACCTGTTTTTGAACGGTTCATGAAAGTTCATCAAGAGGTTCGTGAACTATTCATGAATGTGCATGAACTGAAAATGAAATAAATGAATTCATGAACCGTTCATGAACCATAACTTCATGAAAGTGCAAGAACAGTTTGTAATTCATGAACAGTCCATAAAAATTCACTAACTGGTTCATCATCATTAATCACAGTTATGAACATATTCATGAACAATGTTCCTCATTTTTCATGACTTCATGAACAGTTCCAAATAAAATTGATTATCTGACAAACTCACAAATACCTATTTCATCCTTAATCATAAAATAACATTAGATGTGTGTGTGGGGGTTTAAAACAGTATAAAATGCAACATATTATCTTAAAAAAACAGTGTTTAACTTCAGATAAAATTGTAATATGCAACAAAGAACATGTAAACTGACATTAAGCTATACTCTTTTCATTCTTAGTAACACTTTTTGTATGTTTTATAATTTTTTTTGAAAATTGTTCAAGAGATAATGGGGCAGTTGTGTTCAATCAACTGCTGAAGCATATTTATCTGTCATTGTTGTGGGGCTAATTCCACTGGGGGTTTCTCCTGATGACCTGGATCCCCACCCCCAAACTGACTTGTCAGATAACTCTTTTTGTTAAGACAGTCAGGGCCTAATTTTAATTTAATCAAATTCCACCTATTGTCACAATGAATGTCTCCATCTGCAACTTAAGCTGTTCCATCTGATTAATGTATGGATCTTTTTAACATTGCTGCAGCAGTCACTTTTTAATGTCTATTCCATCTTGGCTGTAAAATCCTCCAGTTGTCAAATTTTCCTCCATAACCTACAAACTTCGTCCTCTAATATTTTTACTTTTCTGCTGTCTGATCTGAAAGAAAGATAAAGTTAATTACAGACAACCTCTGATCAACATTGTCTTCGGCTTTTAGAACATTATTTTTGTACCCAACTTTATTTACTGATCTCAAAATTATCTAATCCCGTACACTTAATACACAACTTACTGAGCATTTAGATTATTGGAGAAATTTTTTTAATAGTTGTATTTTAACTAAAGCTAGATAGCCAAAGTCACAGGAGTTGAATGTTTTAAAATTTATCCTCTGACACCGGATATTGCATGTAGCTGCTTCTGGTTGAATTGCGTTATATAGTAGCACATGTATTGTGTAAAGTTTGACACATTAACTAGTTTTTTTTTTGTTTTAATTTATCAAATTATATCACATCATATAAATAGTGCTGTCATGAAACAGAAAATGATACCGAACATCTAAATTCCTATCGCAGATGCAGTACTGCATATGGTATCAAGATCGAAAAAAGAGGTGGAGATATGATAATGTTTAGTGATTTTCAAAAATTTCGAAGAACAAGTTTAAATTGGATCTGACAAAAACCAGGTATATTAGTTTGGTTAAAACTGATATGACATATAAAAACCAATAAAATATCCATATAATTCCCACTAAAATAATCATAAATGACCAAAAAAAGATACACTCACCATAATTTTGATGATCCCACTGTGTACGCTTTTCTGCCTAATTTTGCTCTCACCAAGTCATTTCCTTCATATTCTTCATAATTCCTTCTCTGCACTTCTACTTACTTAAAAGAAATGATAATTGAAAATATTCTCATCTGTCCATTCCACGGAGTCCACGATTTTTGTTCCATTGTTACAAAACCCTTTGCATGCTCTTTCATTTGTGCAGGGGAAGGATTCTCAGCCACTGAAATCACGAGCGTATATTACCCAATCATATCACATCTTCTTTCACAGTCATCCAATCTGAATAGTCGTTGTTTCCATATTTCGGTTTTTACTGCAACTTGGCAACCATTTACAAAGTCATAAAATATGCAGTTTATGACATTACTGGACAAAAATGTTAGAACAAAGTCATTGAAAACTTTTAAAGCAAGTACATTTTGTTCATGCTGACCAGAAAATATTCTCCAAATATTAATCCAAAACTACTCAAGTTAAGTACACGAGCATTGAATAAAAGATCTGAGAAAATTTATACTGTATCATATAATTGAAAAAATTATTCACCTTTATTTATATTTCACTACTATTGTGAGAAGTTTGTATGATGAATTTTCTTGAACATTTTATGAACATAATGATATAGAAATTTGATATACATTTTTAAGACATATCTTGCTGATGCATCCAAGTACTTAAATTGTTCATAAAGCAAATTCATGACATTTCAGAAATTTCAAAGATATCCTAATAGTCCATAAAAGTTCATCATTGTGTTCATGAACTCAAGTACATGATTCATCAAAATTCTTGAAGTGTTCATGAACTTAGGTGATGAATGTTCATGACTATTTGTTCATGAACTCAAATGATGACATTTCATTTCATGATGATCATGAACATTTCAAGAATGTTTATGAACATTCATAATTGTTCATGAAGTCATGAATTTGTTTTCATAGGTGTTGTCTTGGCTTGTGGAACTGACACACAGGTAATTTAAAATGTACATATTAAGATATTTGTCATGAACTTTTTTTTTATTTTTCATTGATATATGTCATTCTTTATATTCATTTACTTGACATTGTGATCCATGAGTATTGTGAAATGGCCCTGGAAAAGTTGTGGAAAAGTCATGCAATTTGTTTTTGTTAAGTCTGCAGGAACCCTGGATTAAATATGCTGTACATTCTTTTCAGAGCTTTTTCAACAAGATAAATAAAATAATAAAAAGAAGCACAAACTTTACTCTATGCTATAAAATGTTCTATAGCTTTGTCCAAAAACTTTGAAAGTAACATCGAGTATATGTGGATTTCAGTCATATCGAATATGGCTTTTTTAATGCACAGAATTGTATACAGTGTATTGACTGTTGAACAATTCATGTCATGAACAAAAAGATTGATTTTAGTGAGGGGGAAATTTTTCTTTGCTATCCGAGGAATCACATTCTTACATTAAAATAACTACTACGCCTATTACAGAATCATCTTGTCTCGAGTCAGCAGTAGTCAGTACCATTCCTAGCAGCTACTGTTTAATGTTGAGCTTAAATTTTAAAAATGTAGATGAACTTTTGAATACAAATGTTGTCGCAGAGTCATACAATTAAAAACTAATAAGAGTTTGTGAGAAACAAATATGGATTAGAAATACATTGAAGTTAAGTTCACATAATTTCTTGCATTTTTGCTTAAGACTATTTATTGCAGTAAATCACACCATTAATTTTAATTTTCCTAATTGGGGACTGACCATTTGAGATTTTTTTTTAAAAAAAAGGTTGTAGCTGCCCAGTTGTTAATGTCTAAAATTTGTTCCCTCTTTTGGAAATCAAAACAAGTGTATTCTTTTCAAGCTATATTCAGCTTCCTTCTCTCTCCTTTTACTCTTATCCCTCCTGAACCACATGTAGTATAATAAGAAAATAGAGTAGAAATCTTTTTAAAAAAATGAAGTAAAATATGAAATTCTATCTAATTGGCTTACAACTGAAATATTAGATAACATGAAAACAATTCAAGAAAGTACTATTAAACGAGCTGAAATATATGTAGTATCAACAAGCAGTACTTGAAAATAAAAATGAGTACCATAAATTTTATTGAGAATCTTTTCAATGAACTCTCTGGGTGAACACAAAGATCAGACCAATTAAATTCACAAACTTTTGGTAAATGACACAGTTACTTTGCAACTGATGACATTGATATTGCAAATGTTTTCAGTTCATTGGTGGTAGAACACAATTTTTTTTAAAATTAAAAGTTCTGCTCTAGCGAAGTCCATGGATACATTTCTCAATTCCAACATTATTGACTGACAAACATGTCCTACACTAATTGTGTCATATTTATCCCAACATTAGCTCTAACCAGTCAGGCTTTAGAGACTGCCTCCACCTCTTTAGTTCCTAAATAGTTTTTAGCATTTGACCAGAGTAAAATAATATGATCTGTACTAATAGATTTTAGGGACACATATAATATGGTGGACAATTAAATCTTTTTGAGTAAACTGAAAATTTACTAATGTGATGATAGTACAGTTAAATGGTTTACTTTTAAATGAAAGAACATGACATGATTATATAAATGATATTCTGTCTGAACCAGGAACAGATATCTCTGGAGTCTCGCATGGCTCAATTCTAGGTCCATTGCTATTAATATTACTGGTATTCATTAATGACCTACCCCATTTATTGGATGTCGGGAGGTGGCTAAGTTTCATTCCAGTGACCAGATAAAAAAATACTGAGCTACGGTATGTTTAAAATACTAGACAGTTGAGATCAAATCCATTTGAGAAAAGTTAATGTAATAACTTAGCCCAGTACCTGCGACCTTGAGTCTATTCATCTAGACAGTATAAAATTCCCAAAGCAGATAAAGAATTTATTGAAAAGGATGTTTAATTTTCTTTGAAATTTTGCTGTGGAGAATATTTCAAAATCAGTATACACTTGATCCTGTAGATGAATGTGGGAGTATATTGAAATAGTGTAGATGATTATTGAAGCATGAATTTAGTGAGATCAACTATTTGTACTGAATATCAACTGTATATAATTAAATAGGTTCATATATAAGGTGAGTGTCCATGTGGGGAAGAGTAAGAAGTGAATGTTTTTCTGTATGTATATGTATGCATTTGAATGTACTTGTATGTATCTTTAATTTTGTATATAAATGGGTGCCTTTGTATGAGAGCTCAAAGTACATGCAGTTTCACTCTTTAAATAAAGCCATATTAATTGTTGTTATTATTAAGTGGACCAACTGCTCTGGTGGCCTAGTGGTTAGAGTGTCGGCTTTAGATGTGGGAGATCATTGGTTTGATCCCGTGGAGTCATACCAAAGACTTACAAAAATGGTACTAACAGCTGCCTTGCTTAAGGCTCAGCATTATGAGGTTAGTGTTAGGACTGGTCGGCCTGGTGTCAGGATAAAATGACTGGGTGGAACATTATGCTTCATGTCTGCAGCATGATGCCCCAGTGCTAGACACCACTATAAACTGCCACAATGCAGATATCATAGGCTATGACTGAAAAATTGTTAAAGCTACCTTAAAAATCATAATTACATCACATCACATTATTAGTGGACCTTGAGCAAGTATGCATTGTACTTTTCATAAAAAGGTTTCAAAGTTTTTGTCCCTTGGTACATTAAATTTTAGAAGGAAAAAGGAAAATAATAGTACATAATGCAATTGGGAACATACAATGATAAATCACTGGAAAGCTGCAAGTTCACATTAAATGTGCAACACTGTTGGTTTTTGGTGCTGATTACCTACTAGTATCTTAATGAAGAAATGGCATTGTTGTATCTTTTGTCTGGTTCAAGTTCAATATCCAAGGACATATTTTCCTCTTGTGATTTAGGATTGGGAGGTTTAAAATTATAAATAAAACAAGATTCCAGTCTGGTACCTCAATCCACTTCAATAATCGGAATGTCATCCTTTTTATTTTATTCTCTGTGCATTTCAGCACATATCCTTTATATGCTCAAAACTAAGTCATCATTTGTCAATTTGTGCAAAGATTGGGCCAGATATCAGAATGGGTGCTCTGTCTCTTCTGTAATTTGGCCCTTGTTTTCAGCCATTAGCTAAAGGGTCCATTCACTTTATAGTCCATCTTGGACTTGGGCTTCTTTGAGCTGAGGATTTTGGCAGGGACCTGGCCTTGCTATCAAAGAATTCAATGACTTGGTATTAAAGTAACCATCACCTTGCATGCTGATATTTTTCAGATGTGTTCTTTAATCTGTTGAGAGGGAATCTTCATATTCAGTGGCTTGGCTGTACTCATTGTGAATCAATAGTCATATAACTATGGAATTTTCACCAAAAATTTTATATTGTAGTCTTCTAAATGAAAATTGTGTCAATATTACAGGTGGTGTGCGATTTATGCCATAGATGCATTCCAGAGGTTACAGCTTAAATAAACAATGGCTTCAAAATATAAAATAATTTCCCCATAAGATACTTGTAAATTAACGAATCTTAATAAAATTATGTTTCAAAATTTTCAAGTAATGATTATTTATGCATGATTTTCAAACAAATTAATACATTGAGTAAATAATTGCTGCATGGGGGAGTTATAGCACATGACACCTGTGATGGCATAAAATTGAGCATAGTGGTGCAAATTTAATGTTATATCTTCATTTTGAAAAACTTTTATATGAAATTGCATAAATCAAATTGGGATATAGAAAGTGCCACATGTACATCAAATAAAATTAACATAGTGGTTAATTTGTAATTTATTGCTCAGGAATAACAGATGGTTTCAGTATTTGGCAGTTAATAAAAAGAAATGGTCTTATCTTGCATTCATGGAATTTGTTTTCAGACTGCATAGGATCAGACCCTTTAAGGGACCCCTTTTGTTAAATGAAGAATAATTATTGGGAATAAATATTATAACTGAATGTTATATCCTTGTCTCAATTGAACAGTTACAAGTGTAAGAAGGATTTTGTTGTTCCCTAGAATGTCATATCCCAGTCTTGATTGAACAGTTACAAGTATAAGAAGGGTTTATTGTCCCTTAGAATTTCATATCCCTGTCTTGATTGGACAGTTACTTGTGTAGGAAGGATTTTATTGTCCCTTAGAATGTCATATCCCTCTCTTGATTGGACAGTTACAAGTGTAAAAAGGATTTAGGTATCCCCTTATACTGTGCCATTTTAAGGCATAGGCACGCAAGGCGTTTGCCTAGGGTCCCACAATGCAGGGTGGCCCCACAGCTGCCCAAAAACAAAATTTCAGTGTTGGTTGTGTTAACAGTTTATTGTTTGTTCCTAGGGCCCCCAAACTTCTTAAAATGGCTCTGCCCATAAAATGTCATATCCCTGTCTTGATTGGACGTTACTAGTGTAAGAAGGATTTTGGTGTCCCCCTAGAATGTCATGTCCCTGTCTTAATTGGACAGTTACAAGTGTAAGAAGGATTTCATAGTCCCCAAGAATTTCTAACTGCTTTTATTGTATATTTTATGTCTATACATAAACTTAATATCATTTACTATATATTCACATCATTGGTTCAGAAATTATTTATATGCTGTCACACATTTTTGGCATCTGCTTTTGGTAGGGATGCAATTGAGGGTGGCATTTGTGTGACAGATCAGAGAGCTGAACTTAAAACAGATCCAGTGCTTTGCAACATTTGGTCAGGAGATTTGATTTCAGGTCAGGAGGATTTTAATTGACCTGATGTTTTGGCATGTAAATTGGCATACATGACAACTGTTGAACAAATTTACATTTTTTTTCTATTGAAATATCATTTCGTTACAACCAGTCCTTTCCAGTAACTTGTTGCCTTTATACTGTCCTTGTATATATGTATGTAGCACAAGCATTTTTAGCCTTTATTCACAGATCATTGCCAAGATTATATTTGAGACATCATACAAACAACAGCAGATTGACAGTGCAGTTTTACTAACAAACAATGAAACAAAACCAACTGTTGCCTCAACCATTTATACTTACAAAATCCACTGGTAATGTAGTGTACCTTCACCAATAAATATCAAATCTGACACTTTTAGATTTACATGTAATAAGAATAAGTGAAATCAGCTGCAGAAAGTTTTCATCTTTTTTTAAATTTGTATCTCTTCTCACTGGTAGAACTAGATTGATGGTGAAACTTCAACTGTAGAGTAAAGTTGAAAAATCAATTTTAAGGTTGGACTGGGAAGGGTTGCCATATGATAGTGTTAATATGTTCAGGTTCCCACCAGATGGTTACTTATATTTGTTAGTCTATTCAGTAATGAAACAAAATTGTTACTGCAATAAATCTGTGTAGTTGCAGTATCTTTTTTATTTGGACTTGAAATGCTAGAGATACATAATAAGTTCATGATCTTAAAAAGGTAATAAGTCTTATTAGTTGTTGATAGAAGATATACAAGCAAGACTTTTATATCTTTTTTCCATAAACAGTGGCTTGAGTGTCCACCTTGGATGCGAGTTGTGGGTTCGATCCCTGGTCGAGTGATACCAAAGACTTACAAAAATGGTACTAACAGCTGCCTCACTTGGCGCTCAGCATTAAGAGGTTAGTGTTAGGACTGGTCGACCTGGATAATGGGACTGGGTGGGACATAATGTACATGTCTGTGGCATGATGCCCCAGTGCTAGACATCCTGAGAAACTGCCACAATGCAGACACCATAGCACTATGATTTTGTTAAAAATCAAATCACACACATCCCACTTTCCATAATTAAAATTAAAGTTCTATCTTCGCAAAGCCAGGATCAGGTAGCAATTATGATCAACTCTTTGGCATCTGCCAGCTGAAGATATTCTACTCCATGCTTGTTTTGTCAGATAAGGAGTTTAAAATAATTAGATTTTACAGATAGTTAAGATACATGTAAAATAACATTGATGTTCATATGTTTAAATCTCTGACAGGTGCTTAGGTGTATTTTGCAATCAATCAAAATATAATTAGAATTGGACATGTCTGTGGTAGATAGAGGTTTCCATATGATATATATATATATATATATATATATATATATATATATATATATATATATATATATATATATATATATATATATATATATATATATATATAGATGCAATAAACTGACGACAAACAGTACCAAACTAGTTAGTTCTAAGTGCTTTGGACTCTTAATGAATCTTTTTCAAAGGCAAATACAAAACACTCAATGACACTTAATGAAAAAGACTCATTAAGAGTCGAAAGCACTTAGGCTAGTTAGTTACTAGTTTCGTACTGTGTACTGTTCGTTGTCAGTTTATTGCATCTATTTTAATTAATCCCTGACAAACGTGATCCCTTGGTGGATCCAGTACGCTTGAGAGGGTTGTTATTGGGGTTGTTATTTGTTATTCGCCATATGATTTGTATTCTTTATATATATATATATATATATATATATATATATATATATATACACACACACACATACACACACACAAAGAAAGAAAGAGAGAGAGAGAGAGAGAGAGAGAGAGAGAGAGAGAGAGAGAGAGAGAGAGAGAGAGAGAGAGAGAGAGAGAGAATATTGGTGGGGGGAGAGTAAAGATTGTTCATTATATTCTTTGATTGCATATTTAATGCTTTAGTTTCCCTGGTCAAATTTGTAATTATTATATATTCCAATGGCTTTGTTATTACATTCCTTTCTACATTGGTTTTAATTAATTGGTTAAAGCATTTGATTTGTGTGATCTGCCTGAGAATATTAGATAAATTGTGATGTTTTTATTTCCAGATGTGATGAAGTGAGATAAGTAGTGGCTTTTCACATCTCATTCATGATTGATATTATTATTAGAACACAATGTTTTAGTAAAAGTATTAAGATTGAAATTCTCGCTAATTCTTCTTTAAGTGGTATTACAATTATATTGGTTTTTGCACAGCATCTGTGTGCTGTTTTGGTAATGATCATACTTGTGAGAGCAAGTTTGTTGTTGGGATTAAGCCATTTTTCAACACACAAGCGAGCACGGCCAGTATTAATGGTGGAGGAAGAAACCGGAAATCACCGAAAGAACCACCGACCCACTAGAAGCTACTGGCAAGCTTTCTCACATATCTATTAGGGAGACTCAACACACCCAGACAGAGGTGAGATGGCAGTGATCTGTAAGGACAGCACTTTAGATTAGACCACTGGCACTCGGCCAGAGCAAGTACATTCTCCTTTATTTAAAGGTTAATGTCAACAAATTTTAGACTTGATAAAAGCTGATGTTAGGCAAACATACAATTAGATAGTACTCAAATGTTAGCAAATTGATGATTTACGCATTTCCTGTAGGAAAGGGCTGA